GTCGGGGCACCAGCGAGGCCAGCGGTCCTGGCTGAGAGTGAGCGGGGAGGGCCCTGCGGGCACCCCCCAGCCGGCACATTGTCCACGCCGCCTTTCTCCTGGGTCGCAGGCACCCTGCGCCCTGCTCATAAAGCTCTTTATTGAATGTTCTGCGGTCCTTGGAAGGTGAAAGGTGCAGGAACCCCCCCACCCCCCTTCTGGTATGTGGTGAGGGGTCTTTCTGCCCAGATTCATGTCGGGGTCCCCACCAGAACCCAGGTCAACCTTGAGAACCACACAGATGCCTGCCACTGGCATGCAATCGCTGCTCCCCTCCAGGGACCCACAAAGAGTTAAGGTCGCTGGGGCCCAGCCAAGGAAGATTCCAGTTCCTGCCCAGGCCCAAGATAGTCGCTGGCCTGGGTCCCCTGGCTGGCAGGCTGGCTGGAGAGGAGGAGGGGCCGCCCGCCTGCTTGGAATTCCTGACCGTTTCCCAAACGGTGAGGGGAGGGTGCCACTGGGTGTGGACAGAAAGCTAGTGAAACAAGTCCAGGACAAGTCACTGGACAGGCCAGGCGTGTTTATATTTCTCTTTTCTTAGCTCGGTGAGTACTGGGTATGTGTCACACTGCCAAATCCCCGATCACAAGTCTCCATGAACGGGCGGTGAGCTGGATAATAAAACCCCTGACATCATCATTCCAGAAGCTTCACAAGGCTGAGTATATAAGGGGCTGGCTGCAGCTGCAGCTGAAGGAGCTGACCAGCCAGCTGACCCCGACACTCACCAGCCGCCATGGACATCGCCATCCACCACCCCTGGATCCGCCGCCCCTTCTTCCCTTTCCACTCCCCCAGCCGCCTCTTCGACCAGTTCTTTGGAGAGCACCTGCTGGAGTCTGACCTCTTCCCGACTTCTACTTCCCTGAGCCCCTTCTACCTCCGGCCACCGTCGTTCCTGCGGGCACCCAGCTGGATTGACACGGGGCTCTCAGAGGTAAGGCTCCCCTCCACAGGCAGGAGAGTTTCCAGAACCTTCTGGAAACATTTCCATCTGCTCTCCTTTTCCTCTGTCTGAATCTGGTCAGAGGGGACGCTATGTCTAAGTGTCTTAAGTCTTTTAGGCACTTGTGTATCCTGCAGTGAAGAAAGATGAAGTTGCTAGTTTCTCCCCCAGTCACCTGTTTGTCTTTGATGCTCCTCTGTATCCCACTTATTACATTTTTTCCATGTGCTAGGAAGATACTCTTTTATCCCCTAACTTTTAAGTAGGGTGCCCCTTTCTGGTTTGGTTCATAAAGATCTGCAAGGAGAGAGCTGCCTGCAGACTCCTTTGCTTACCGCTTCTAATACTCATACTCCTGAAACTTTTATCATTTCATGTTTCAGAGCCAGGAGACAGCACTACCCCATCCTGAGCTTTCCATCCCCACTGTGTAGAGCTGGAGACAGCAACCACGATTTCCTTCCTTATTTCCTCTTCTAAGATTTCCCCAGTTTCTCAGGGCTGTGTCAGGCACCAGCCTGGGTCCGAGCCTAAAGAGAAAAGAATGTAGGTCCAGTCTTGGGACCCCTACTTGTCCTAAGAGGGTGGGAAAACCGGGTGAGCACGTAAGGTTGACAGAAGTTGTCACCGATAACACGGTTTTAAAAATATCCAAGTGTGAGTAAACAGGAGCTGAGTGGGCAAGGGCTTTGGAAGGACAATCAGGGCCAGCAGAACATTCCAGATTGAGTGGGTGGGAAAGTTGGCAGAGACCTGAGCAAGAAGAAGGGGGCCTTTGTCTCCCAGACAAATGACAAGGCCAGGCATTGGGGTCAGAGAGGCAGCAGAAGCCATGCCCAGACCCATCCTTGTGATTGGTCCCCTCTGTGGCCTGTCTTCTTCCCTGTCCCTGTAAATAAATTTTGGGTCCAATGACCAAGTGGTGTGCCTTGGGTACCACTATGGTGGCTCCCCTGCACCACAGAGCCATGTTTATTCAAAAAGGGATGTTTAGCCAAAAAGAGGAGGATAAACTACCTGGGAAGAAAGCAGAATGATGAGACTGCACTAATAATCCACATTCTGACCATTATTTCTCCGACCCCTTTCTGCCACCTGGCTATTTCTAGATGCGTCTGGAGAAAGACAGATTCTCTGTCAACCTAGATGTGAAGCACTTCTCCCCAGAAGAACTCAAGGTCAAGGTGCTGGGAGATGTGATTGAGGTGCACGGCAAACATGAAGAGCGCCAGGTGTGTAGCTTGTTTTCTCTTCTGTTCATTCATTCAGCATATACTATGTGCCAGACACCGCCATCAGCCTCTGAGGCTGGCAACATTCTAGGTCTAGGCCATCAGGGTCTGGAAACAGGGATAGACCTGGTATTGTTATTGTTTTGGCCAGAGAAGTGATCTTTGTTGTTTGCTTTAATTTTATTTGATTGCCTTAGATAGGATAGATGGGATGTTCACTTCCCATTTAAGCCAATGGTTCTCAACTGTGGTCACATTAGAATCACAAGGGGAATTTTAAAAAATTCCAGTGCTAAGGCGCATCTCAGACCAATTAAATCAGAATTTTTAGGGATGGGACAGAGGCATCAGCATTTTAAAAAGCCCCTAGGTCATTGTAATGTGCAGTCTAGGTTGAGTAGCACTGATTTAGGCATAGTGCTTGTCGGACACTTAATTACATTAACTGCATGCACTCTGAAGGCACTTGAGTTTGGGACTTTTGATGTTCTGGAATCCTCTTCTCTTTAGCCCATCTTAACAGTGAACTACTTGGTTTGCCTCAGTTCCAGAGCTGTACTCAGCTCCTAATACCCTGGAGCACAGGCGGAAATCTGTTGAGAGCCTGTCTGTATAAATACTTGAGATTCAGCAGGTTTAGTAGAATTCTGAAGAATGGAATAGCCAGTTTCTCATTACTTTCCAGGAGGGTGTTTCAATAAGTTTGTTTTTTACCAATTAGTGATAACTTGGAGCCTTGTACAATAAACAGTATAGTTTGAAGTCCTCAGGCTGTTTCCATTTTGTGTATATAACCTAAGTTTGGGTCACAGTCTCCCTGGATGGAATCTTTTTTTTTCTTTTTTAATAGCAGCAGTCCTATTGGTCTGAAACATTCTGGGACATTCCTGAAGAGTCAGAACAATATCTGAGCTTTCTCAGGCACTTAGATCTTCAATGTCGATGATATTCCAAAACGTGTAGGCCCAACAAACATTGACCTAAACCTTTGGGAAATATCTCTAAGCATATCCACGCCTTAGGGTTTGAGAGCTGTGAGGCTTTGCCTGTTTCAGATTTCTCAGATTCTCGTTGAAGGAGTGACCGCCTAGACAACTTCATCTTAGCCCCAAATAGAAAAACTTTCTCTCATGTTGCCATGGCATTGGTCCCACCTAAAAGGGGAAGGGGAATGTGTGAGTTCTAAGCAAGTGCTGCTTTTTCCTGTTCTCATCTCTTTGCCTCTTTCCTCCTTCTCTTGGATTAGGATGAACACGGTTTCATTTCCCGGGAGTTCCACAGGAAATACCGGATCCCAGCAGATGTGGACCCTCTTGCCATCACCTCATCCCTGTCCTCTGATGGGGTCCTCAGTGTGAATGGACCAAGGAAACAGGCCTCTGGCCCTGAGCGCACCATTCCCATCACTCGCGAAGAGAGGCCTTCTCTCACTGCAGCCTCCAAGAAGTAGATGCCCTTTCTCGAATTGAATTTTTTAAAACGAGAAAGTTTCCTCACCAGTGACTAAAACTCTCGCGACTAGTGCTGAAGCTTATTAATGCTAAGGGCAGGCCCAAATTATTAAGCTAATAAAATATCATTCAGCAACAGATAACTGCCTTGTGCTTGAATATTCATATGGTTTTTTTATTGGAAAAATACAGCAGGTCCATTTATTCATCACATCATGATCTAGGGGGCTCAAGGGATATTAGAGTCAGAATGGTATAAATTTAGTAAGTCACTTAACCTTTCTGGTCTTTCGGTCTTTCATTTAAAACATGGGGTACTGATTTGTACACTTTTTAAAAAATAATTTTTTTATTGATTTTAGAAAGGAAGGGAGAGGGAGAGAGAGATAGAAACATTAATTATGAGAGAGAATCATTGATCGGCTTCCTCTTGAATCCCCCACACTGGGGATCGAGCCCACAACCCACGTATGTGTCCTGACTGGGAATCGAATTGTGACCTCCTGGTTCATAGGTCGACACTCAAACACTGAGCCACACCAGTTGGGCTGATATGTACACTTTTTGTAAAGGAGTAAATTAAGGAGAAAAAATAGATAAAGTTCTTGGTAGATTTCAAGGAATATCAGTTCTTCTCTCTTCTCCCTCTTTGATTTTGGCCCTCAATTCCAACAACAAATCTGAATGAACTCTGGATAACAATACATAAAAGGCCTTAGTACATGTCTGAAATTAATCATGTCACTAGGGAGGAGAGATGGTGTCCCCAAAGTTATTTGACATTTTCCTGCTGTTAAGCATTGCCTTCAGCTGATTCACAAAGGAAATAAGAAGGACTTGGGTGATCAGCACCAAACACGCATCTCAGGTATAGTCCTAAATTATCTGGCAAATACCTATTAAAACTAAGACTGGAAAATTTCCAATTCAATGACCCACTATAAAAAAAGTTAAGTTTTAAAATTATAATGAATAACTGATTAACAAGTGATTCTATTATTTAACTTAAACAAAAATATATTACTCTACAAAAACATCTTCATTTCACTTCTGTGAATCTAAACTTCTGATTCAATTAGTGAGAAATGGCCCTGTGTAGGTAATCTGGCATAAATGTTTTTCTTCCTTTCTTTCTCTAACTCTGGACTTATAGTTTTGCACTTGCCTCCATTTCATTTTCTACATTTTTCCCCAGTTCTAAACCAGGTTTTATAATGATGAGTGGGGCTGCTGTTCTGCTATCATATTGAATACTATCATGGAGCCAGAGATAGCTTATGTAAATGTGTAATCATCATGCTATGTTTGAGTTTTCCCACCTCACCAAGCCCAGAGTTTCTATTCAACAAAGCCCCTCAGAAGTTTGATAGACAGGATTTTTCCATTTTCTTTCACAAATAGAAAAATCCCATCACAGCCTCCTGGCTTTAAGCAATGAGCTGGTTTCTTCTTTCATCTTGGATTGAGCACTGTTCGTCTGTAGAAGGGGAACTCTTAGCTGCTACTGTCTGCTTCTAGACCTAGAGGCCAAATGCGCATTCTCCTGAATTTTGTTTTTGTTTATTTAAACATTTTGTTACTAATTTTGCCCATATTGTTATTTATCTTTTCTACTTTAAAACACTCTACCACTGCTATGTGTTAGGAACAAAGGGATTGCATCAAACATGAACTTATCATTCTATCTTGTTAAAAAGACTGTCCCCTATTTACTTTTTGATCTACCCCTTTCCTGAAACTACTTATGAAAGTGAAAGTTTTGCTAAATCTAGTGGACCATTCTGATAATCCATTTGACTACCCACCTCTTTCTTTAAACTTCATTCTCTTGGTTTCTGTGACATTGTGCTAAACACATTTTTCTCCCCCTTTCTGACCACTTCTCTGTCTCTCTTATTAGCTCATCTTTTTCTGTGAATCATTTAAGTTTGCCTTTCCAATGGTTCTACTGTTGGCATTTCCATTCCCTTCTTTTTGATAAGCCTAGATTATACTATCAACTCCCATACCTTCAACTCTCACCTGTGTGCTTGCATATTCCTGTGCCAAGTGTGTCACCAAGAGAACTGAAATGACATGTCCAACTACTTTTTAAATATGTCCACTTGA